CTGTCCGACTCGTGGAAAGTATTTTTTTTGTGGCAGGGCCACGATGCAACTACTGTTGTTGAACGAATAGGCAGCCTCGTCCGGGGAAGTACCACGACCTCACGGAAGACATTATGCATTTCGTATGCTGAGTGAAGGAACTGGGGCCCACTTTATTAAAACTTTGCAAAGCTCTTGCAACCCTACGGTGGTGTCTCCATGGGCATTTCACATCATCAGGTAAACCGCCAGCACCCTTGTCACCTTCTCACATGACAAAAAAAGAATTTTTTTCATGGGTTCGGTATTATATGATGCTTTTGCCATACTGAGTGCGTTACTACTGTTACAAGTGCTGTACGTTTGAATAAATAAATATGGAACGAGTAGATTTTTTTACGAGTGACTTGACTTCTTGGGGCTCGGAGGATATGGAAAGGTTAAGTTTCCACGAGCCTGATTGACCCTCCCGTATACTTTATAAAGTCTTCACCCGCCGTACATGGCGACGAATATATGCGAGAAGTTGCCAGGACGTATTTGATGTATTTCAATTTAGCAGTCTACAAGTTCGGTTTTTGATGGCTGTAAAGGCATGGATGTGTTTGAAAATAGGTCATATAATTATAAGTTCTACCTTTGACAAAATTTAACGCGTTATATTAACTGACTGTTACCGTTTAAACACACAGACAAGGAGGTTGCGCTATACTAAGACATGCACATTAACAACCATCTTTCCTAAAAAAAAAAGTGATGCATAATTTTGTTGTTCATATCGTAATCCTGGTAGTACAACTAGAAAAGGATATTTAGAACATATACACAAATATATATAGAAACGATCTTTTATATTTTTATAATAAAATTTAAACGAAAAATTAAAAGTAAACTTATGGCTAAAGCCTATTATTACTATTGCCGAATATCTTGACGACGCCAATGTGTGGGGTTAATACTGTTGATACTCACGTAGGCTAAGACAAGACTATTGTACCTGTACTATTATATTGTAAACTGATTTTTTTTAAAAAAGAGCAACTGTTGAGTTTCTTGCCGGTTTCTTCTCAACAGAAACTGCTTTCCGAACCGGTGGTAACTTACGAACGTGTTCATTTCTTGTAAAATTTTGACGTTTCATAAGAACGCGCAAGCGTCTATGTGAATAAAGGTATTTTATTATTATTATTATTATTATTTATATATATCCTAATTTTATTTAGCTCATTGACTTGTAATTCGTTATCTTCGAGCAACCTGGCTCAAAATCTCTGACGGGTTATCTACGGGTCTATTATAGTTCCAGAATACTCTCTCTCGTCAAGCTTCAACCAAATCTACAGATAGACTATAGAAGTACGAATAATCGGCCATATATTATTAAAACTCACACAGTTCGACTCGACAGCATCAAGACGGGTGACGCCGCATCTGGCCGATAAACAAAACCAGACGGGCACCCAACCGGACCCGATGTCCTATCTCGTGGGAATCACCCGAAATAGCAATCGCGAGCTGCCAAGCGCCGAAGCTGCCGTCGCTATCGCCGCAACCGATGCCATTCCAAGAAGTTTGACGACGACCCGAATGGCGTAGTTGGCAGTGTACCTGCCTCCTGCACCAGAGGGTGTGGGTTCGATATCCACTACTGCATGTATATTGTGTGACGAACATAGTTTTTTTTCCAGTCTCTGTGTGTTTGATATCTATAATATGTATTTATTTACAAAAGAAAAGTATGTTTATCAGTTATCAAGTAATAGTACAAGCTTTGCTTAGTTTGGGACTAGAGAACGTTGTGCAGAAATTTGTTCTAAAATATTTATTATTTATATTTATTTCAGAATAGAATATACTTCATTAAAGTAACAGCCTATGAATGTCCCACTGCTGGACAAAGGCCTCCTCTGTTCAAAGAGTATCAGGGCATAGTTTACCACGCGGCCCTCCTTGGCGGATGCGCGGACTTCACATATATTATTTGTTATTATTATTTCGAAATATTTTTCTTGTTATTATTTGAAAATATGCAAGTTTCCTCACGACGTTTTCCTTCACCGCCGAGCACGTGATAAGTCAGCACTTAAAATTAACAAATTTCATTGGTGCCGGCACCGGGGATCGAACTCAGGTTGCTCGCGTATATTGTATTAAAGGCGAGCGCCCGGACACTGAGCTATCACGGCTCTATTTTATTGCACATTAGGATATACATAGAAAGAAAATACAGGAGACATAGTGTACATGTAGTCGGCCTTAATTTCTTCCAGGCAACCTTAGGGTACAGGATAAAGGTAACGAAGTTGTGGCATAACGGTGCATTTCGTAGATGTTAATAAATCATCTGTCAAATGGCTTTTCAAATGTCATTTGAGTGGCCAAAAGTATGGTTAAACTCTCTGAATTGATCATAATGATCAGAATGATCATTTCGAATACACAATGTTCTAACTAGAAATACACTATGTTCATCACACAGTATTTTTTAGTGATCGAACTCACACCCGCTGGCGCAATAGACAGGAACACTATCCACTACGCCAATAAAAATTTGATAAAAGTTTAATTTTTATATTTATTAGGTAATGGTTTCTGGCCTTAAGGTGAAACTTGAAAGTATTTAGATAAAAATGTCGCAAATTTTTTCTCGTAATCCGGAAGGTGCAAATTCGAATACTGGAAATTTGCAGCAGTTTTATCTTAACATTTTTAAAGACAAAAGTATTATGTAAACACATCATACAGCCTCCGTTCCTAATTTCATTTTAAACATACTTTCGCATTTATTTTGGTTATATGTACTGGTTACTAAAACACTATTTAGACAACTTACCCAAGATGGGGATGTGCCTTAAAGAATATGGCTGATGAATATTCGCGTTACAAACAATGCACGCTTTGCTCAGTCCTTACGAAGAGCTGTCGAACAGGCCTCGAACCTTGACGCCCCATATGGTTTTATACACAAATTAGGTAATACGGCAATTGACGAAGTAGGTCGAATGTAGTTAGCTGTTGATGGTGCAATCGACGAGCATTGGGCGATTTAAGTTTTATGGATTTTTAATTTTTTTTCGATAGGAATAGAGCTGAACAGCTTTTAGATTGTTTTACAATTTTTATTTATGATAATAAATTTTATTTAAATATGGAACGTCTGGCCATATTGGCTATTTTCTAAGGCACGCTTACTGAGACTGTCGTCATATGAGTTGTCCTCATAATCTCTCTGATTACAAAAATTACGAAAGGACCGCGTCTTTGTCAAGCGAATAACAAATACTTATTACGCAAACGCGATAGTGCGTGTGCCATTGGCGACAAATTGTTTGTATTTATCATTCGACGCCGTCCACTCAATACTTACGCCACCATGCGATGGAATTTTAGAACTGCGATTTTGCATCTTTTTCTACATCGTACATTTCGATAGAGACGAGTGAGGGCAGGCGCCGCGCTGCGCTCTTCGCATGCTGTTTGCATTAGAATTGCGTGAGTCAACTGGATCTATTACCGACTGTGGTCTTAATTAGGATGTTATGTAAAGAGGTTTTATTCTATTCATTGATACAAGTACCGCGGTGCCGTATTCCGATAGCACTGGCGGGCAATATTCTGAGTTCCTAAAACCATGTTCACTTTTTAAATTCAGCCATTTAGGCCTGGATGTTGTGCGGTTGTCAGTTTAATATTTATAATGCTATAAATATAACAATTAAACATTAACCGATCTTTTAGTGGTTGAATTCACTTAATGTTGTAATGAAGTACCCCAAATATTCATGGGCATAGCACGTTTGAACCACTATCGCGAAATTGAGCTGAATTTGACAGTCGAGCGAAATATATTAAAGAGCGAATATCTTAAAATATACCATACTTTAATGTAAATTTTTAAACACTCGGAGCATGTCCTGCGGTGGGCCCAGGTAGTTCTTCCGGCGAGTACCACGGCCTCGCTGAAAACCGGCGTGAAGTGAAACTATTATTCTTTCGCGTTTCGTCCCATGTAGACCCCATTAGGTACTTTAGACGTGCATTAGGTGAACGGTGTGCATGTTTGGCAAACTTTTAACATAAAAAACGAAATAAATAAAAAAAAAGAAATATACCCAATATAGACCAATATTCTAAAATTTTCAGCGAGCTACCATTCTGCTAAGTACAATGGGTACTTCCAATAATAATCAGAAATAAAACAAAGGAACAATTCCCAGAATTAGCGTATGCGTCACTTCACATATGAGACAAAATCTTATAAAATCTGAGACAAGCGTCAGACCTCTAAATCGTCACTATAATAACAATAACTTTAGTAATAACAGTAAATTAAGGTACACGTAAAAGTTACCAGATTAGAAGAGTGATATATTATAACTCGCGTTTGGGTTTGCGGTATGACGTTGACATGACCTTCAGACATCACTAACAATGACCGATACGTGAAGAATGTGCCACTTCTTGATTATTTTTAGCTACGCTGAGTTTTATTTTTATAAATAATTTAGGTCGCTTTAAGATACTCATAGTATAAGAATTAATTCTATTTATTAGATTTATTTGTTTAAGGTCCGATGAATAAGCGGTAGCGATTTTATTTTTATCATCATTGCAAGATGTTAAAATGTTGACTTGTCTTTAATACTTTTATGATTAATTTAAAAATACGATTGTTTATTAACCTTCGACATCTGTGCATGCATTTTTTAACGTTTACAACCTGTGTCACTAACTCAAATAATCGACAATGTTTCTTATATTTACATATCTGTTAATGTACATATATTCTTTATTTGGACTGGGATTTTTTAAATTAATGCTTGAATTTGGTTTCGTGTTAGCTCAGGGCTTTCGCCCTATGACCTACACTGGAGTAACGCACATCGTTCTTAGATATTTGAGGTCCAGTTCAAATTTAAACGCGTTGTCTTATTTTGTACTCCAACCCGTTCCCGCGTAATGCATTTAGGCCTTTTCGAACTGTTGTAGTGTATTAAGCGACGTGCGTTTCGTTTGGGCAGCGCTGAAACAGGAGCGGTCGCCTATACGCGGAATGGGCCCCCACCCGGCGTTAAGGGAGAGGGGCCGCGCCATCCCGCCAGGGTCCACGCCGCAGCCCCAACAGAAGCCGGCGCCCCTGCCGCCGCACGTCCGGGTACGAACCTCCCCCCTCTCTGTGTACTACCAGCCGGAAGCCAAGGTCAGTGGACGGTGTGACTGAGCGCCGCGCTTCAGCTGACAGTCGCGGAGGTCTCCTTCGTGGCACGAGGGTTGATGTGGTGAGCACCGAGCAATACTCGAGTCGTTCCACTATTTCGAGTAGTTTGAGAGATCCTTTCGGATACGCGGTGCTCCCAACTATTGAGCATAGTATCGAAAAGATAATCCGTGGTTCGGATATTTCTCCAATCAGTTCAGAAGTCGCAACATGCGCTAAATTAATTGCGTTCATAAGTTACAGACGTTAACAGAACGCATTGGCATGTGTTTATTAACCGTAGCATGTGGGTTTAGCACCGACGAGCGCGTCATATGAAACGGTATGGAGAGAAAAGGTAAAACTGGCTACCATGCATCGCCTTATACTGTGTCGCAGTTGTTTTCGAGAACGAACCCTAGACCCACTAAACGGTCCGACCGTCAATCGATGCAATGTGACGTCACGAGACAAGCTGCTTCTGGGGCGTTATATAGTCATGATGATATTACAAGGGAGGTTTTGCTTGATGTAGCAAATGTGGCTAGTGCTACGGCGTAAGCGTTTCGTTGACCAAATCGACTACAAGGTACAAGCTACGAAGTCGATGATTGAAGTCAAAGACCACAATAATAGCCTAATAAGCACCATTCTCTTCTTTTCATTTTTTTCTCTTCTCTTATGGTAATAAATAAACAAATCCCATGTTCACGTTCACCGTTACGGGGTATGCCACGTCTTACCTCGAAGGAGACCTCTGTATAAAGTTTTTAATTAACCCTAAGACAGCTTGCCGCCAGATGATTGATCCATTAACAAGTAAGTACGTAGAAGTAGTGTAGAGAGTGGAGTTTGAACCAATAAATGTTTTAATAATCTAATACGTTTGTTTTAATACTTGTGACTGTTGTTTTTGAGGTAAGTAGATGTTCCTCCTAAGAATAATATTTACTTATTAAGCTATGATTACTTCGTGCGGTGGCACGAAGAGGTGAGGTTTAAGGATTTTTTTATGTGAAAAGTTGCCGAGCGAGTAGGCGGGCGGATCACCTGATGTTAAGTGAATACCGAGGGTTACAGATGCGTTGACAACCTTTTGATAATTAGGCTTTGGCCACCTCACTCACCAGACGAAACGCGAATGTATTTGTTATGATTCCACATTACGCCGATCTTCAGTGAGGTCGTGGTACTTACCCGGACGAGCCCGCCCATTCGTGCAACAGCTGAGGCTGCCGCGTGGCCCTACCACAGTTAGATTAATTTAAGAATAAATGACAATGATGTTACTGACTCTAATATTTCTCTAAATCTTAATAAATCTATTGCATATTATTCACATAGTTGTCAGGAGATTAATACAATGTTACCAATAGTAACATTTTTCTTCGGAAAACCTGACTTTAATGGAGATGCCTAACAGAGATGCAAGATATACTTGTATTAAGGGCGTATATTTTAAGAATTTGTTTAATAATATTGCCATTCGACGATGGTCCAAACTTTTCACTTTATACAGATACAGATGTTTATATAACTTTCGTAGGCAACAATTTTTAACTATAGGTAATTTTTAATTAAGGCATTTTAATGGTCCTTATCGAGTCTTAAGACATCAAACAAAGAGACATTTTAAAACATATGAATTTTAAAGGTATCATCAGTCTTGTATTGCCGTGTTCAATAACATGAGAACGAGCAGTACATTAGGTAAGAAAAAGTTAAAATGTGGTAAACATTTGTGGTTGTGTACAGTGCTTGAGTTACTAGATCCATGTGAGATTTGGTAGTTATAGAAATATAAAACAAGAATGGCGTAGGTCAGGGCTATTAGGATGTTAGGGGTATAGGGTTCTTGATTATTTGCTGAAGTGTTATACAAACATTGAAGTGTTCTAAACGCAAATGCCTAATTGATTAACGCAGAAAGCGCTCTTTCATTTTTGGATGTATTGCCAATGTTAATAGAAAAAGTTTGAATTTAATGTAAAATACTCTTGTTACTCTTGTTTCGTTTTAAACAACGGGATGCATTCTTTCGAAATTAGTTAGAAGAAAAATCTTCTGAGTAGTTGACAAGTTAGGCGTATAATTAGAAGACAAAATTAGATCTCTGACTATATCAAGCGTCGGAGGCCTTGTGATTGTGACGCTGAAATCCAAATTTTAAGCATTAGAATTTGCACACATGGGTTAAAACTCACAGGGCATATTCGTGCAAGAAGCGTGTCTAATTTGTTTGTGCTATTTCTAAATCTACGTCTTAAAATCTAGAGCCTTTGGACGAAGAGACGTGATCGTATTGACCATATATCTTTTGATCTCTTGTGCGCAATAAATGTTATTGGATTTATCAATTTTGGTCTGTGAAAATTAAATTCTCGAGGTCCATGGTCACAAGAAGAACGAAGGGAGTTTGAAATTTAATTTGAACACGTGATTTTCCATAGGACCTATTGCAATGAATGAATCAATATTCTTTATTGCACATGCCATGGCAAAAATATATTAAAAATAACAATTACATGATATGGGTTTTACAATGCGCGGCCTTATTACTTAAATAGAATTAATTTCCAGAAATATAGAAATCCTCGCCAAAGGCAATGCAATTAATTTATTTTATTAATCAAATAGGATAGCAACTAAAAAAGAGAATGTGACACCCTTGGAACAGGTCTCTTATTTTCTGGTTCTATAATTGAGTTACTGGAAATCCATAATGTTTTTCTAAACATGAAAGTCAAAAGCTGAATTATTGCTATTAAAACTCGGTTTTCAAAATATAAACGATAAAAGGAATTGCTTAAAATGTGGAACAACAATGTGGATAAAATACGTTGAGATGGCGGCATGGCATTCAGCCGTTTAGCTCAGTGCGATTCTTGAAGACGCGGGTTCGATTCTCGAGGCGATGAAGAACTTCGATAATTGTCATACAAATTTTAAACGACAAAAGGTTCATAATGGTGGAACCATCATTGTGAATTGAACCTTCACAATTTTGACCAAATTCGAGTCTTGCAATATTCAACCGCCCTGCCCAGAGAACCGTCAAATACCTGAGAACAAGTATAGGTACATTCTTTTCTTACACATCCTTTTATTTAAAAACAATACGTAACGAACATATAAGGAATATAAAACAAAGCAAAACACAATATTAACAACAAAAAGGGAGCATGATGTGACGAGCAATGAATTTCGGCGTTTAGCGCTATATAAAATTATGTAACGGCACGAGTACACTTCGGTCCGAAAATAATATGACTATGACATCATGCGTGCAACAGTTGATTCTTTGTAGCAGAGCTATGGGCGTGGTCCAAGTGATAAGCGACCAGCAAATTGAAAAGGACTTAATATTGTTGATGTTTTTTTACGATTATAGTTTGAACTAAAATGACAATTATGTTCGTAGTAAAAATTCGATACACGAAAATTTATAATTTTCATTTAAATCGGTTTAGCCATTTTAATTTCTAAACAAACTTTCAGAAAGGTAAGTTAGTCATAAAACGGGTATTTAGTGAATAGGCATAATATAAATATCACTGTGGCTACGCAACAGCTTTCGCTGTGCTACAAATGGACAATCTCGTCCAGGGAAATAAAGCAGCTTATCAAAAGACCAGTGTGAAGTTGAAATATTATACATTTTTGTTTCGTCCTGTTGGTGAGATAGACGGGGTCTGCAGTTTTTAAAGGTTGGCAAGGGAACCCCCCAGAAGCTGTAGATATCCAGGAGTGGCCGTATTCAATAAAGTTGAGCTATAATGTTATAAATGTAGTAGGGGGGCCACTCAACAGCTTCGGCTGTAGCACTAATAAGCCGGCGCGGGCGTGAAGTGGAAATGTTATACTTCTGCGATTTGTCTGGTGAGTGAGGTAGCCGGGGCCCACTTTAAAAGGTGGCAACGCATGTGTAACACTACGGGCTACGGGTGTTGCAAATGTCAATGGGCGGCGGTTATCGGAACCGCCAGCTCGATTGCCACCCTCGCATAAAATAAAAGCTATTGTAGGGACTGCCTATGTTTTAACATATATTATGAACTCACAGACAGACTCGAATTATATTTAGATATTTATTTCCACGATGATGTTTATTTTACAAATAGGAAAAATACTATTCTTTGCTAAGTAGTGGTAGAAACATTCGATCGCACGGTTGTTAGAAAAACATCAAAAAGTAATCTTACGGAGCCCGCGACTGACAAGACGCTTTTATGTCAAGTGGCCTACGTCGCTCCGTACTACTTAAATTATGCTAGCCAGTTGTTAACCTGCATAGTTCCCAATGGTATTATATATAAAAACGAGGTAGATATGACACTAGCGCACCGAAACTAAGGCACTCAAATTACGCCAATTGGTGTAATTAGATTGTAACTATAGACTGCTATCTCTTTCCGTATCATACTCTTTATATCATTTGTCACCTTCACTTAAATTTACGGACATGCGTCATGTTTATTAAAACATCATTGATAGTTCCTATCGCTGAAACAAATCATCGAAGTAGGATCGAGGACCCGTCCTGAACTTGTCGGTTTCAAAATCGAACAAGATAGAAGAAATGGTTGATTTGAGATTGTCACATTTATTCATTACCTGCGCCAATCATTTGTACCGATCAGCTGTGCTCTTGGCGGGATGTCAAACGGCGTTGTTCATTAATCTATGTCCTGACGTCATCACACTACTGAAAGAACATGCCCCTTTCAGTTATGGCGTCACTATACTAATGTCAAAAATTCATAATCGTGGAAGCAGGACGAAGACTTTTGCCTCTCTGTCGCACTTTATATACTCTACACTATAATACCACCTTTTAACTGTGGTAGGGTCACGCAATAGTTTACGCTGTTGCACGACTGGGCAGGGCCATCCGGGTAAGTACCACGACCTCACAGAATACCGCGCGAAGTACAAGTGTTACACTTGTGTGTGTCGTATGGTGAGTGAGGTAGTCGAGGCACATTTTATTAAAACGGTGGCAA